GAATTCATTATCCTTTTCATTTAATTTTATATGATATTATTTTTTCCTATAAAATCATTATATATGTTTTAATAATTTACTTCCACTTAAATAATATTTTTCAACCTTATCATGGTAAAAGTTGAATTTATTATCCTTTTCATTTAATTTTATATGATATTATTTTTTCCTATAAAATCATTATATATGTTTTAATAATTTAAATTTCAAAAACATTATACTTTAACTTTAAAGATTTTATTTTATCAAAATCTTGTACATTGAAATATATAGTTATGAATTTAAAATATTTTTAAAATCATATAAAAATTTCAATAACTTCTCAAATTCCATAATATAACACTTAAATACTACATATTATATATTAATTACTATACTATAAATGACTTAAATACTCCATATTATCTATTACAATAATTAACAATTATTTGACACTTTAAATTCTATCAATGCCATATAAATTAGGATAAAAAACCTAACATATAATATTTAAATATATTTACAAATAATATAAGTAATACTATACATTATAATAATTAACAGCTTAATTATTTAAATAGTAATCCTAACTTCTAAGAAATGTCACAAATATATATATATATATATATGTGTCTAAGAAAATGATATAAATTACATTTAATGATGAAATGAAGATTAAGAAAAGAAGTAAAACAAATTAATAATAATATTGATGATGATAGGAGTTAAATAAATCATTTTTTATATTTTGTAAATTTTCAATATAAATTTTTCAGTCTTTTAAAATTAGAAAATGCTAAAAAAATAAAACTAAAACTAAAAATCGAGGCAACAATTATTTTAAGGAAAAAATAACAAAAAATGTCAGAAACATTGATCAGAATAAATAAGTATCTATTGCTAAGAAGGTGTCACCCCACATTTTCTATTTTAGCTTTATTATTACATATAGATAGGAACTTTAAGATGAAGAATGATCCAAAAATTTTAAAAATAACAAATCAATTATGTAAAAATACATGTGTAATTCTTATAAAGTTATAATAACTAATTTCTTCAAATAAATAATTAAATGAAAGAAAAAAAAAGTAATTAAGAAAATAATATAAATAACACTAATTATGAGATTAATAGCATTGATGAGGAAAGGAACTAAATATGATCATCTTTTTAAATTCTTTTTTAAGAAAATATATATAAACTTTAATTAAAGATAAATAAGAAAAAAAACCTTTAATTAAACATACAAAAAATCAAGACAAAATTAAAGAAGAAAGAAATTAGAAGAATAATGACATTGAAATAAATAATATCTAATTTTCTGTCTTTTCAAATCACAAAATAAATTTTTGCTTGTTCTCCTCCTAATTTGATACGAATTCCATAAATAGAATGATTTTTTCTCCGAATAATTTTTCTTACCCTTTCAAACACTAATCAGACTTCTTATAAATTTCTCAACCACAATGAATTTTCTCTCCTTGTAGGAGGAATAAACATTTTTTCAAAAAGTCTTTTATTTTGAAAATAATTTTTTGTTACATAATCTCTTTCTTTACATCAATGTCTTCACAAGAATAATGAGATATTCTCTCTTTCTCTTTTGTTAAAAAAGTCACATGACCTAGAAATTTGATGGACATCTTAGCGACAAAAGTTGATACCATATATTGATCATTATCGTCAGAAGAAGAAGAGCCAAAGTGAAGAAATTTGTTCTTATTTGTTACAAATGCTCAACTATTTTGTTTTTATTTTATAGGCTAAATAATTATAAACAGTTATAAAAAATGAATAGTTTTTATCTTTTCATCTTCCATTTTCATTTACTTAAATCTATATTAGTGTAATGGATGTTATAAAGGGCATAATTAATCGGGTATGACATAAATACTTTTTTTTTAAATACAAATAAAAAATACAAAACACAGATAAAATGTCAAAAAAAGGAAAAAAAAGATGAATACAAATACTGGTCATAGAGAGATGCCACATCAAATTGTCAATATTCAGCTTTATATATACATATATAGGTTCATGTCCTTAGATGTTATTTTATTACTTTAGCTGGCATCGACATTTTTGTAAATCTGATATCTACTTTGGAACATTTTATAATGTGGCATAGGCTGACAATTGAGATCATAAATTTAAAATAATAAAATTTAATTTATTATAATACTAATATCAATATCATAAAGATATATATATATCATTTAAAAAATATATAAAAAGTATTATAAATTATAATAATTAACCGCTTTTTAAAACAAATTCATATAACTAATTTGATTTACACTCCAAAATTCATAGGTGTCACATAATTTACACATTAATTCTTCATTACTTAATATATGTAATTATATCAATGACATATAAATTGAAATTAAAAAATACATATTTTATTTGAAAATCACGTAATAGTACTATAAGGTATAATAATTAACAACTCAACATATTTTAAAATTTTAGTTGACTCTCCGAATTCCATATGTCTCATGTAATTGAGACAGAGAAAAACATATATTGGTTTAAAATTAATAAAAATATTATAAATTATAATAATTAACAACTTAAAATTTATAAAAAAAAACCTTTAAAATTTTTTAGTTGGCTCTCCAAATTCAATCGGTATTACAATAATTAAAACATAGAAATTAACATAAATTGGACTCCTGCTGACATTTATGTTTCCTTTTTCTAAATTTTCTCTTTTATACTTTATATAAATAATTTTTTTTATGTAAAAAGTATAATAAATCATAATAATTAATAGCTTAAAATATTTCAAAACATATAAACAGTTTTTGTTAACTTTCAAAATTTCATCTATGCCGCATAAATTGAGAGAAATATAGATATATAGATATTTTAAGTTGCTAATTATTCTGAGTTATAGTACGTTTTATGTAATTTTCATATATATTACTCGGTCCTGATTTATGTGATACAAATGAAATTTCAAAAGTCAATGAATTTTTTATAAGTTCTTTTTTATATTAACTTGTTAATTATTGTGATTTCTAATATATTTACGTAAAACATACTCTAAATACAAATAATTAGCAACTTAAAATATATAAAAACATACTAAAAAATTGATTCACTTCAAATTTCATATGTACCACATAAATTAAAACAGAAACAGTAACATATATTGGGCCCCGTGCTGGCACGGGGTCCTATATCTAGTTGTAATAGATACTCTATCAAACAATACAACAAAACTTATGCAAACAAACCTATTAAATGTTAAGATCAAACAATACGGCAACAAGATTTTACATTCTTGTCTTCTTGATGAAGAATTAAAGTGTTTCTTCAAGAACATATTTGCGAAATAAATATTTTAATAGTAATATATTTTGAGGTGATATTTTAAAAGTAAAAAAAACCACAAAATTAACCAAACCGTACCAATACCGAAGAGAAACCGATATGACTGGAATGATTTTAAAAAGTCTAATTTTGGTTATATATTATAAAATACCCAAAAAATTGAAATGGTATAATTTTTAAAAAATAACCGACCGAACTGTACCATGGACACCCCTACTAACATCTGTAGCAAACAATTAACAACTGATAAATACTTGACATGAACTTTTTTTAAAATAACTGATCGAACCATACCATTGACACCGCTATTTGACAGTATCTCTTCTTTAAATTAAGGACAAAATATGACACGTTCTTTTCTAGATATTAATTTCCCCTTGATTTTTTTTGTGTAGAATGTGACAACAAAACCCCAATAAGCAATTGTGATAGATAATAAAAGTTGCACTTTTTTCTAATGCATCAGTTTTCTGGAGAAACAAAAAGAGAGAGAGAGAGAGAGAGATCGTATATCACGCAATTTGGAGAATGACAAAGATAAAACAAAAAGAAAAAAAGATCATATATCACGCAATTTGGATAATGACAAAGACAAAACAAAAAGAAAGAGATCATATCAAAGATGATCACTCAATTATGAATGGTTCGATCTCATCTCTAGAAAGTTAACTTTGTTTTATAACCCAAAATCACTCAACTATGAAAAGTCTTTTTTTAAAAAGTCACTCTACTTTATTTCATAGCCCAAAAGTTTCTCAACTAAGATTTTGTTTGGATTGGCTTTTGACTAATGATCCTAAAGCTATAAGTTTGAATTTCTAACTTATGATTTTTTATTTATTTTTATCATTTAGCTTAAAACTAAATGCTCATAAGCACTTTCTAATTTATTCAAACACTTAAAAAGCTATTTTTAGCTTAAAAGCACGAAAAAGACTTCAGGCATGCATTGGAAAAGGGGTCTCGTTATCTGAATTCTACAAATTATTACAAAGGTGGAATTTGGTAGGAAATCTAAGGGAGATTACCCATTAACAAAATGGTGTTATATTTAGGCAAGGATTCAACTTTAATCCATTCACAACTTCGATAATATCACTATAATTTTACATTCATATCTTATCAAATTATAAATTCCACCTATTACTAGTTTAATTAATAGTGTGTCATTTCATACAATTTTCCCTTTTTACTTCACTTAAAACAATATTAAAGATTGTAAATAAAGAAAAAAGTACAAAAATTATATTTTAAAAAAAAGTTACTTCTTACAAGAAATATTTCAAAATTTTAAATTAAACAATTCAATTTTTCATATTAATAAATGATTAAAAAATATTAACATCTAAAGTAATGTATGGCAAACAAATTACTAACATCTTATCAACTAGAACTAATCCATAGTTCTATAAATAATAATACAATATGAAGTTTAAAGCTTTTACATCATTTAAAATACTGTACTAAAAACAAGTGATAGGTAAGAAGAAAAAATGCAACTGAAATTGTGTAAATGCATCTATATTTACAGTCTTATTAATATTTGAATCATGAAGAGAAATAGTAAAATGGAGATTTAATGCTAATCCCTAGACATTTGATACAGAAAACAAACACCATCACTTACTATTTTTGTAGCTTTCATCCAGTTAACTTTTATTAAATAAACAATTTCAGCCTTAAAGTGGATCGTGCAAAGTGCAAACTTGAATAACCTTAATTCTTTGTTAATATACAAAATAAACAAGCCATGCTGACAATTCATCATGCATGCTCCACATTTCTAGAAGATCGTTTATAAACACTGTACAATTTATAAATAGGTATTGTCATTAGAGTATTTGACTGGTTGACATGTTATATGCCAGCATCTATCTGAAAAAAATACAACATCCACATTAAGGGGAAAAAATAATATTTTTTTTTAAAAATGAACACCATTGTTACTGACCGAAGGAAGTTGACTGCAAATCAGGTGCTACTGCTACCAAGATCAAAGTCCATGGTGTAATCATATTCAATCGTTGGAATAACCGAAGCCACAAACTTCAAGAACAGGAAAAGATACCTGCAAATGGTGATTGAGATCAACACTTAAGAGGAGAGTCGGAGACAAAAACCTGATGCAAGTAGAGAAACTAAAAGGAGATTCAAATTTAGGAAGTTCGTGCATTTAAGTTGTTGGGCCACATATGTCTCAAATCTTCAGTCTAAAACAAGCACATTTTACTCCAGGAAACCTGCTCGAATTACCTTTGATGATAATGAAAGAATCAGTGGCTACAGTAAGAATCATCGGAATCACTATCATTGGGTACAAACCCTCTTATTTTCTTTCTTTAAGTGGCTACAACATATGACTATAGCAGGAAAGTCAACCAGGACTTGAAACTGTCGAGGAACACTGCATCTACTTCTTAGAATAAGTAGAAATAAAATTGAGCATATGACTCCAAGTGTACTTCCCATAATAATGAAAATAAAGTGAGATTAGATGGACTATGGTGTCTAAATGCAATAATCAGATATAGGCTTCGGTTTATAACAGAATGATATGCTATACAACAACACTACGCTTTAGTCCTAAACAAGTTCGGATTGGCTATATGAATCTCACCAACCATATTTTCCATTTAAATTCATCACAGACCAACATTATATGAAATTTTTAAAAATATATGAAAAGTAATATAAGTTTCTATATTTCCTATTGGCATAATAATCTCTAATAGCACTAAGAGATTCCTAGAAAGCGTAAAACTTAAATGTGTGCTACTTACATATGACTAGAATATATTCTCATCTAATTGGTATTTGCTTATAGAAACCATTTCCTTCTATTATGCTCTATTTTTCGTGAAGTCTGCATTGATTTCAAGAGATGGTAAGTCTTTCGAGACAACCTCCTTCCATGTGATTTTAGATCTACCCAAGCATCTTCACTTTACATGACTTCACATCTGCGGACCGGTGCATCTAGAGGTCGACTTAGGACATGACCAAACCATCTCAAACGACCCCTCATTTTACCTCAATGTGTGTGCGTACACCTTCAGGCCAATGTGGTCATTTTTTATCTTGTCTAATCTCATATACCGCACATCCATCTAACCATTTGCATCTCTGCAACACTCATCTTGAGGATGTGTTGAACAGTCCAATATTCACTCAACATTGCTAGTCTTACAACTGTTCTATAGAACTTACCATTCACATTTTTAGCTATTACATAATACCCAGAGCACTTCTCCATTTTAACCATCCAATTTTGATTATGTGTGTAATATCTTACATCCCAGGGCTTTGGCTCAACAGTAAAGTCAGTATATTGGGGGGTGTGGTTAAACACACATCACAAATTTGAACCCATGAGGACCAAAGCCCGGTATTTAAATGGGAGGATGATAGAGGAGCTGCCCATACTCCCCTGAGTTTCGAACCTATACAGCCAACTGTAGCTGGGCAATCTAAACCATAAGGAGATTCTCAATTATCAAACAACGATATAGGAGTGTCACAAAAGTGTTGTTACACTATAAAAAGATACCCAACAAGATGGAAAGCAAGTTTTTGTGAGACCTATAATGTTATATGGGAGACTTGCCCTTCAAGGCCCAACAGGTCCATAAGATGACTGTTGTAGAATGTGAATATCAAATTGGATGTACGACCGTACAAAATATGACAAGATATGAAATAATTACATCAGACAGATGGTGCAAGTAGCAAACATAGAGGATAAAATAGAGATCGGCTTAGATAGTTAGTCGTGTCCTACGTGAACCTCCCAATGCACCATAAGTACGTGTGACAAATGATGATTTAAGCTCATAAAAGGAATGAGAAAGATAAAAGATCATTTTGCATCAATAGACTTTACAAAAACATAACGCAATAAAAACAAAGTATCCCATGTAGGCGATACAAACTAGTTGAGATTAAATCAATTAACCACACAGGGGTAACTTAGATTTGGAGAAATCCTGACTTGTCTTAAAATAAGTATTGGAATTAAATTCACTTGAATAGAAGTATCAATAATGATTCCTGTCTATGTTGCTCAGACTCTTCAAAATGTCAATGTGGCGTGACTGATTCTCCAAAAGTAGAGTATTTTTGGAGAATCTGACACAGGTATGGCATCGAAAGTGAAGAGTCCGCACAACTTAGATTCTGGTTCCGAACTATTCCATTGATGTCAAAAGTATACTCCTCCATTTGTCAAATTAATAACTTGAGGTCCTTGGTAAAAGCTAGATGGAGGAGGGTAGGATTGAAACAATGTCTCAGTCAGTATTACTGATACTGCTACCATGTCTACCACTGCTAAAATATGCTGCTGCAGCAGCAGGAAACCTTCTCATGGTTTTCAGATGTGAAGAACAACATGCAAGGTAGGTAAACACCTATCATGGGAGACACCAGTGAATCCCTAAAAATTAAATGCCAAAGCATCAACTTTCTTGAAAAACAAATGCCACAATGAACAGAACCTCCCTCTGGTTCGTCACTACATAGTATGGCTCTTTTAATGCAACATACTAACAGAAATAAATGTTCCCTAGCCATGCTTTATCAAATATACATACATCTACAAGTAGCAAGTATCCCCATGTAACCAAATCATATGTGTCTTATGTAAGTGCGATTATGTATAATGCTTAATGGAAAACACAAGGATACTAGAAAAGAAATTAGAGTGTACTTGTCAACTTCGGGTTCAACTCCTCTCAACATCAAAATATCAATAATTTTCTTCATCACAGCCCCGTGTCGGCAAGGATGCACAGAAGCATGTTTCCCTGGAAGATGTGGATGGTCTTCAATGGTCACCTGAGTTAACAATGTTGAGAACGAAAGATTAAAATGAATTCAACGACAGAAAAGTTGTAGTAGTTAAATAAGAGAAAGGGCTATAAAGGAAAGGAAGTTGATAATCAGTGCGACAGTCATTCAGTTGCTTAGTTGCCATCTACAATTTGGTTCATGAACAAAAGTTTTGGTCAGCTAAAATGGATATTGTTCGTCAACCGAAATAGTCCTTGGTGGCTTTGGTTTTGTACTGAATGGATATGGCAATTTCTGTTTCGCAAATAAGTTTTGGCATTTCTCATAAATCAAGTAAAAGCTAGGGTTAAGATTAGAAAACGTCAAGCAGAAGTTTGAATGTTGTTCACACATAAGCTACATAACCTCAAAGCAAGCATTCAAGCTCTATTGTGTATAAGGAACAAGAGAGCCTTGGAAAGAGTTATAGTGGTCAAATGTGTAAAAAAAATCATTGCCTCATTTAGTTGAATTTCTTAGAATATGGTTCAATTGGAAGCTTGTAGGAGAGAAGAGAGGGGGAAGGAAGGGATAGAGAGTGTCTTTAGGAATGTTTGATTGTCAATCCAATTAGGCGGCAAGGCTCTGAGTTCAGAGGAGGCAAGTGGTTGTAGTGGGGAAGGAAGTAAAGGTATAAGCAACAAACTTTTGACAAACTATGCCACATTTAGTTTTCACTTCAAAATTTAAATTTAAATAAAAGAACGACAATGATAAAGAAAATAACATGGAAAAAAGTTGATAAGTTGAATGCATGCACTTGGACTTGATTTCCAGATGCCAATTAGCAAGAAAGAATCCAACCACATATGACCAAACTACTAGACCATGTTTGATATAGGTTTGCAGGATATTATATTCATCACTTTTTCATACAGTTCGTGGATAACTTCCAAAAACCTTCACCACACCATCATATGCAATTTTTTATTTAAAGATTGGAATGGATGTTTGAAATAAACTAAAAACAGGTAAGCTGAAACCGATTCACTAGGTGAGTTTCTTCCTTGTAACTGAATAATGCACAGCCCTGAGATTGCCAAGCAAACAACAATACCATCTAGGTTAGAACTTCTCAAGAAATTAGACGAGGAGCAATGTTCTACATTGCTTGGACCGAACTACTGCAATTTCATTTACAAACTAACAACAGCAAGGAGAAACCCATTTAAGTTTGTCCCCAAATACATCAAGACTTAAAAGATGTATCTCACCGTCTTGCGTGCATGGTCTTGACTGACATCTTCAAGTACGAGTTCTGGCTGCAAAAGTATCCTTGACTGTCACATAAAATCAAAAATAGTGCTTACTACACATGATGAATATTATTACGGAAAAAGATCACCCCTCACAGTTGCATAAACTTATAGTTCACTGTATTGCAATCAGACCTGAAGTTCCCCAAAAGAACACGATGCATGTCTAATCAAAAGAGGAACTTTTTCTGAAAGCAACATTTAATGGATATACATTGTACAAGGATATTTTCACGTATCTTAGGAATAGAAACTTCAGTGAATTTTGTAAAGATATGGCACCTAAGTCTAACTCAACCCCAAACGCTAGCTCATGATGGGAGGTTTGTCCAAGTCCATATAAGGAGACCAAATTCCCATCCCTCTACCAAAATGGGACTTCTTAACACTCCCCCGCACGCCCAGACCTCAACTGGAGTGTGAACACTTCTAAATGGGGGCCCAACATCGGTAAACAACAAATTGGGATGGGCCTGGCTCTCTGATACCATGTAAAGATATGACACCGGGACCTAACTCTACCCCAAAAGCTAGCTCATGAGGGGAGGTTTGTCCAAGTTCATATAAGGAGATCAAATTCCCATCCCTCTACCGATGTGGGACTTCTTAACAAAATTCAACAAGGAGAACCACATTGGTTCAAAATTTCATCTTTGTGCAGATCTTGTATAGTGTAAAAATAGAATTAGGACTAAGAAGAGTAAAGCATGCTTTGCTTAGAAATTCTGCAGAAATGAGCACAAATTATATTGTGTAATATAAAGAAAAAAATAAACTCATGTTAAGGTATCACATTTACTTACATTGCCAAAATATTGCATTCCCATATTTGGATAAGACTATGAATAATGTATAATATAGCATAATGAGAAGGTCTGTGTTTACTGAGCATATAAAGAAAGTGATATCAGAAAGAAAACATAAAATAGCACTCTTAAATTATTCGAGCTTACAGAGATCCACCTGAGGCAACAGGAAAAACACAATTTCCACTACCCCCCCCCCCCCCCCAACATATTCATATATAATTTTTACGACTTACTCTTTGTCACAATCCAAAATCGGTCCATGACGACGCCTACAATAACCCCCTCCCCCCCCCCCCCCCCAAAAAAAGGGACACCCATAAATCCAGGTGAGCTCTCGTTGTATCATCCATTTCTTCAAATGTATGGTTACTAAGTTATTTATTTCATGAATGTGTCGGGACCATCTTGCAACTCTTTCCATTATAAGACAAAAGTGAAAAAATGTAGTCTTCAAGGCAATAACAAGTTTTATTTTGACTGACCTCATCATATCCAGTGAGCCACACACGAGGTGTTTGATAATATTTGTCATACCTACAAAAGTACAGATGGACAGTTATTAGCACTTCTCTTTAATCAGAAGTGCATGAAATAGCCAACATTACAAAAGCTAATGAATGAAATTGACTTACGTGATGCTGACATCATAGGTTCGTGTTCTTAGAATGTTGTCATCATCAGGCTCATTGGCCACAAGATATGTAGTCTGAAGGGTAGCCTGCAGTAAATCACGAGAAGTTAACCATTTTGGTACTACATGGAATAATCTCAAAGCTGATAATTTACAAAGATCCAACAAACTGAATTTTGAGCCCAAACAAAGATCAGAGCAGCATTCTCTCTCTTTTATTTTGGAAAAGAATGTGAATGCAGCCAGTAGTCATTGAACTGAAAGACAGCTTCCAGAAAATTTGAAAAGAGTTCCTTGCATATAACAGTATCAAATAGAATTTTTCTTATTTAAATTATACCAGGAAAAAGGTCAAATTGAAGGCAACTATTGGGTACAAAAAGGAAAAGAAATGAGGATTCTTTTTCTTGTTTATCAAGAAAGATTCCAAAAGGATCCCTCAAGCCATGAAGTTATTCTAAAATCCTGTACACCTGCTCAGGTCAATGTTCGGGCAATGAGATGCTAACAATTTCTCACTAATGAGGAATTGCGTGAACAGTCATTACACTTCTAAACTATTCAGTATCTACCTTTAGCTGTTTAAAAACTACCAATATCAAACGGTCAGTTTTAAACAGCTGTTTTTCGAAAATACATTATTAGTAGAACAGATACACATTTAACTATAAACATCATGGACACTATAAGGAGAGCCGTTTGGTTGTTAAGCTGATTATACTAGTATTCATTGTGACACTTGTAGGAACAATTCACCAAATGAAATGAATTTTTTTTTTACATAAACTCTAAATCAGAGCACCAGGAAAATCATCATCAAAGACCATGAAGAAATAGCATCAGGAGTTTTAGATTATGGGCATGAACCACTAGAGACGAGAAGCCAACAGATTGGATCATGACTCTGCACGAAACCATTGTCGTAGGACTTTTTAAGATCAAATACAAGGTGAAACAGTACGCTGTTAAGATTAATTATGAATTACACAGATTTAAAACAACAATGCATTCAGCGAGAGACAGTTCTTACAGGGTCTGTTTCTATAAGATTGTCAGCTTCCTCATACTCTCCCATGTCAGGTATGTCCTCCTCTTCCTCGCCTCCAAAGTATGATGGGATTGACTGGATAGTGTTCTTTTTGTTGATTTCTGATGCGTCTATAGATGGCAAATTATCATCCTCAGCACCATTGTTTTCTAAGAAATAAATGGGATAAAATGTCACAACGCAAAATTGATAAATAAAACTCAATTTGTTACTGGAAAGTATTGATATACTAGATACCTTTTGGTTTGCCATGAGTTGCCAGCCAGCCATCATTGTCCTCATTATCAAGAAGAACTTCACCTCCAGCAGCCTCATATTCTTCCTCTATTGATGCAGCTCTTCTCAGACAAGGAACTGTGTACAAAGTTAAAGTGGCACATCACCTATGCTGGCACATAACAAAAGTTTAAAGCAGAGCCCTAGAGCAACGGTAAAGTTGTCTCCATGGGACCTATAGGTCACGGGTTTGAGTCATAGAGGCAGCCACTAATGTTTGCATTAGGGTAGGCTTTCTACATCACAACCCTTGGGGTGTGACCCAGCTAATGAGGTTGCTTTGTGCACCGGGCAGCTTTTTTTTAAATGAGAGTATGAGGCAAGTAGAGAACACCTATGAATAAAGAAATCTCTGAAAGAATGGTCAAGAGAACTACAACATACATAGTTCCACCTTCTTTCTGTCGTATGAGGTGCTAAAATTCTTAAGAAGTGGTTGAAGATTGGAAAACTCAAAATAAAATAAAAATTACCAATTCCAAAGAGAAGATTAGTGAGCTAGGGAGGAAGAGGATATAGCACTAGGCAACAGAAGTATCCTTAGCAAGATGCTTAAATTGATATACAAGGAGCAGACTGAAACGCATAGATTCAGCGCATAACATATCTTAGACAATACAGTTCTTAATCCTATTTCCTAACCTCATAGTTACTTTCTCAAGGTCATCATGATCTCACTTGAAACAATAAGACACTGAGCATAACATGTGTTGGACAATAAAGTTATGAGTCCTCCTGTTCCCTTACCTCATGGCTACAGCCATACGCATCAATATTGTTCTTCCTATTAGATTATCAAACCTCTCTTCCTCAGTAAGCTCTTGAAATTGCATAGAAAGGTTTAACAAGTTAGTATTACAGATTATCAGTTCTGGATTCTGGTGATGATGGATATCTGACATCAGGAAAACATCCCCAAAAGCTACATGGATACATCAAATGTGTTAAGACTATCAACATTCAACTATTGACCAGAACTTCTTAGTTTTTTTGTTTATTTTAAGGATTAGTTTAGCTTAAATTAAATCAAGTTATTCTATTAAAAAGTGTAAATTTATCAGCAATTAAGTTAAAGAATGAATTCATCATGCACGTATCACTTGGCTACCTCATATATCCCCCAAACACATTCAATTCTATGAAAACTACTAGCAGAGTGATGGTTGTAGATACGTACCATTTCTAGTTATCAAGAATTGCTTGTCGGATGGTAAATAAGACTTCCTCTTACTAGACTCACCTGATTCCCTGTTAATGAACAATGAACCATGACATACGAATTAGATGCAACAGCAACATACAAGCAGCAGAAAAACGTAACATTAGGTTGACCACTGCATAAATAAAATCCTGGAAAGCACACTCTTTTTTTCTTTTCATGTTCTAAGAGGGAAGCTAAAAAAAACTTACAAGAGAAAATCAAAATTGATCGTGAAAGTGCATAAAACTTCAAAGATTTGAGAAATCAATAGTCCCATCAATCAATTTTCACTTTAGCATCAAAACAAACTCTAAATCTACTATATGAGATAATGCATCATTGACCAACAAGTTGGATCATATGTCAATCGGGAGCAAAATACAACATAATAAATCCAGTGTTACTATTACTAGTTGTACCCTTGGAAAAATCAATACTATTCTAATTCCATCGGAGAAGACAACTTTTTTTCAAATTAGATCTAATTCGGAAAGCAGCAAACTTACCAAGACCAGGTAGGGCATTTGGAGACAAGATTATCGCCAGCTATGACGAATTCGCTGACGCTGAGAACGCCTTTTTCTTTGAAAGCAGAGACGGTACGAGGGCTAGTGATTCTCTCCACCGTATCCTTGAATGCTCCGTGAAGCTGTGACAACACCATCATATATTGTAGGAGAATCAGTTTTGATGATCGATCCAAGCGTTATACACAAACAGCTTCCGTCTTTTCTACACTTTCCCGGAGTTAACAGAAAAGACGACCTGTTGAGCTTCTTTCTTCTAGACTAGATTTGGGATGATTATTGCTATCGTTAGGTTTTTTGGGATTATATTATATTCCTTCCCTATTTACTAGACAATTATTGAAAATAATTTGCGTAAATTATTAATTTCATTATCAAATTATTGAAACACCCCTTTATTTGATTAAATAACTTAGCTTAAATGCACCTTGATCTTGCAATATGAGTGAAGAAAAAAGTAATTTTAAGATTGTCAATAATTTGAGGATAAAACTAATAATTTGATTTAATTATGACAAATAAAAGTGAATTAAAAAATTATTTTCTTTTTTATAAAAACTTGAGAGAATCTAGTATAAGACGACAATTAAGTGTTAAAATAAAAATTAGTGGCAAGCTTGATCTACTCAAGTCAAAATCTTTTTTTAGTTAAAGATTAAAGCAATTGAGATGTGAAATATAATTTTTAAATATACTCAAATAATTTTAAGTAAGCGTTTGGACATGTAATTTTATATCGCGATATGAAATCATGAGATGAAATCAACGTTTGGACATGTGATTTCATGTTGATTTTATCTCATAATTTCATATCATGAGATGAAATCTTAAATTCTCCAAAAATCATGATTTTGAGATTTTTCAATTACAAAATTTAATCCACAAGGTTACATTTTGTAAAAAAACAACTTCACATTTATATCTTCTAACTATTTATTTCATATGTAATAAAATTTATAATTCATATCCCTACTTTTAATACCACTTATATCTTATATAATAATTATTCTCACTAACATAGAATTTTTTATTATTTCAAATCAATTTCTGCTTTACCATTTCTATTCACCAAATTCATTATTTTTTATCAAATTTATTTACCAATCAAATTGACCAACAAATAGCTCAAAGTAACAATGTTGGTTCGTCTTCTCGGTCATATGAACGAGAAATGCAAGCTCAACGTGAGAAGATTGTTTGTATTATGAGGGGATTATATTAAAGACTAGTACACCACAATTAATGTTTCATTTTATTTTTGTATTGAATTAAAGCTTGATCAATAAATATTGTAAGTTTTAAGAATATTTTTGTGATAGTGTATTATACGATTTTAAAAACGTTTGCTTATTTGGTAAGATTGTATAAAGAATTGAGACAGTTTTAATAATTTTACAACTTATGAGATTTTTATGTTTATGAAAAAACATACAACATAAAAAGTTCAAATCGCATGTTCAAACAAAACTCCAACTTCGTCTCATGATTTCATCTTATAATTTCATATCACATGGTCAAACAGGCCCTAAGTCTCGGTTATTTCACTTTAACTTTTTCTCTCTCAAATAACTAATCCTCTTTCAAAAAACAAAAATCAACTCTCACCTCTTACCTTTTTTTCACCGCCCGTCTCTTGCTTTAACTTCAATCTCCATTATTGTTACCTTCATCGTCATCGTCATTATCTACCTCCTTAAGTTCGATTTATGATTTTCTAAGATTAACTCTTTCCTTGTTTCTCAAGGTTGGGATTTTATCTGTTTAAAAAAAGATGTGTTGATTTTTTTTAAATATGGAGTAAGATTTATGAGATTGTAATGACCTCTTTTGAATTTGTTTTTTTTTATGAAAATTTTTTAATCTTTGAAAAGAGTAAATATTACAAGTTCTTGAGTTTATGACTATTTTGGATTTCTGCATCCCCGACTTGTAATGATTTTCAAGTCAATAAATACATTGTGTTAGAAACATATTGTTTGGTTCATATATGTGAACCCATATTCTCATTTTTAGTACTTTGTTTCCTGACTTCTGATACTTAAGAGACTAGGGGTGGATATGATATGGTATTTGAAATTTTGGTAGCATAATTTTGATATTTGAATTTTTAAAATATTATATCGTTATCATACCAATTTAATTTGGTTTGGTTTGATATTTTAAAGTTTGATTTTGATATTTTGCGGTATGGTAAATCGATAACTATAGGTTGTTCAACTTCAATTAAATATATACTCATTTTATGGAGTATTATGATTTCAACAATTCAAAAAAAGGTCTCAATTGTATCATACTAATAATTACACATGTAGAAATATATATTCAAAATAAAGTACAAACAACTTATTTTGTTAATCAATTACATATAAATACATTTTCTGTCAAAATAGAATAGTAAAAGTTTTAACTTCTAAACATTTAGTTTGTACTAATACTAGGTTGCATAATTGTTAATATTTTAATAATAATAATAATATATAGGTTAAATATGTAACTATATACTTCAATATGGTATTTGGATTTTGATATGTTATTTCTAAATACCAAATACTATATCGAATACCAAACAAATGTATATCATATACCATATTAAATATCATAATATCAAAATTACGATATCAAAAATTTCAATATGATATGACAATTTGGTATATACCATACCATGCCCATCCCTACTTTAGACATTTGGATTATTAATTGCCACGATCCAAAAATGGAAGTGATGACACTCGTCTAATCCCACCACGACAAGCCAGCCTCACCCATCTACACGAAAGAAATGTGGAAAGTAAAGCAACAATAGCATAAGAGTGGACAACTTAGTCATTCTAGAATAACCCCAAAACTTGGTTGTCACATGTACAAGTCATTAGTATAGTAATACAGAATTTGAAAGATAATACAAGTCTCAATGTCTCTGTCTTTCGAATAGAACAAAACATAAAGTAAGGAACAAGAGGGTCCATTGGGATGATAGCAACAACCTCTCAATATATCCTCAGAAAACCTCAAAAATAGATGAAAGAGAAGAGTCACACGGATCCAGGCTCAGAACCTACACAAGTGTAGAAGTAAGGAGTGAGTACCAAACAACACGATACTCAGCAAGTAAACTACTAAACAAGGCAAAACTAGGCTAGAATACGAGTACTTCTTTCATCACAACTAAACCGCATCAACTACAACCTACATAAAAATCAACCCAACATAATAATTTTACAATACACAGTTCACAAGGCTTGACAATCACAATTCAACAATCAATAAATATCAAGTAGATCAATCACAAGTATCAAGTAGATCAATCTCAAGTATCAAGTTCATCAAATCACAATAGACAAACCCTTGCTGGGACCATTTTCCATCGGCACGATATCACTACTTGTTTCCACCGGCTTTATATAGTATCACTTACCAGAATCATTTTCCTTCGACGCAATATCTCTAGCCAGAACCATTTTCCTTCGTCTTTATAACATGTCACTTGTTGGAACTATTTTCCTGTAGCACAATATCACTAGTCGGAACTATTTCTCTTTGACTTTATAGAATATCACTTACCGATACCATTTTCCTTCGACATAATCATCAGATGTCTCATCATGATGCACATAAATCAATACTATAAGGAAGAAAGCTATTACAAATATTTGCGTTATTTATGTCTTTTATAGGCATTACAGTGACAACTTTTTCACTTCTTACTGTAAGTTCACAACCATAATTAAAAGATAAGCTAAAAGCTACAGACCCAATAAAGCTAAATGACCAAAATCTATCATTAATATTACTATTTTCAATACTCTCCCTCAACACCAACTTTCATTTCAAACTTTATCAAGTTGTATATAAATCCTTCCAAACTTGTTGATACTCAAGTTGTTCCTGAACAAATCTACAATTTAGTTCTTGTGTTGATGTACTTCAACCTAATTTCCTCTTGCAATTTTTTCCCTAATAAGATAATAATGCACCTTCATGTGTTTTGTTCTTGAATAAAAACTGATTTTTCTGCAAGACATATTATCGACTAATAATCACAATATAGTGAACAACATAAATCGTTGGTTGATTTAGATTTATCAATAACTACATTAGTCAAGTATTCGCTTTCGAGTTGTCATCGTTACGTTGGTGCTCAATACTCCGTTTTTGTTGTTGATAAAGACACAACGGATTGCCTTTTGCTAAATCATGAGACTACTACTAATGCAAGCATAAATACATATCTGAAAGTTGAGTGTGGAATATCATGATCTCATGTATAGTCATCATAACAATAATCAACTAACTTACAATCTCCACATTTCTTGTATATAATACCATATTCAATTGTATCATTGACATATCTCATGGAACTGCTTTCAAAGGAGGTTTCTTTGAATTTGCAACTAGTGACTCATTACACTAAGGGAAAAGACTCAAAATATTCCATTGAACTTTGAAAAAAGGCTCATTTATGTCATCTGCTAAAAGTTTGGTTTATATATGCTGTTGTCATTTGAGAAAATGCTCATTCATGCCATTATTTTTTAACTTTGATTTTGTAAAATTATTATTTTTACTTCAACAAAACCCTTAACAACTTTCAACATTTTTCAATTGAGGTTTTAAATCAAATGTACTCATTTTGCTTCTTCTTCCTCAAGAACACCAAGAACACATGAAGAACATCAAATTTCCAACTTCTTCAATTCTTCACGAAATCACCTCTAATTTCAAGAGTAGTTTAGTTTCTCTCCAAACTAGATACCAAAACTCATCTAATTTTGATCTCTAGTACTCAAGTTTCGTTTTCCATTATTAGAAGTAAAAGTCTCCGATTGACACCACTTTTTATAGATTCAATGAAAAGAAAACATTTCCATTGATAATTCTTTAACATCAAATAAAATGAAAAGTAAATAAAAAAAATTGTTAATTAAAAGGAAGACAATGCAAAACGTTGTTGCTAAACAAAATTATAATATTATTTTAGATGTATGTAGAATGAACACAATTGGTTTATTGGGGTGATTTAGGGAGTTTCGTTGAGAGTAGTGTGAACCGTACATGTTTTTGTGAAGAATATGTTAATTTTTGCCAATTTTTAACAAAAGGATGAAAGTTGTCAAACTTTAAATAATTGAGGGATGTTCCCTATCAAAGAAAAATAATTTAAGGGGTCGTTTGGTGTGAAGGATAATACCAAATAGTCCTGGGATTAAATTATAGTACCACTTAATTTGTTGTTTGGTTGGCAAGTCCGGGATAACTTATCCCGAGATTAATAATTAGTACTGAGAT